AAGTTAGAAGGTTCAAATCTGGCTCTGACACCTGCAAGTTATGTGGCCTCTGATGCCTCTCCGCCATCCCATGGGATTGCTGTAAGTATTAAGTAGAAACACAGAAGGAAGCTTAGTGAGCTATAGCACTATTCTACTGCAAGTGGCCACTGCTGTTTGCCCTGAAAATTACAGGCAGCTCTAAGGGCCACATCTGCCCCATCTTTATTCTTCATGTCCCTCTTCATCTTCTGCCACTTATCAGTTGTTGACCTTGCATAATTAAATATTCTGTGCCTCACTTTCCACATCTGTCTAATAAGGATTATAATGGTACTGCCTCAAAGGGTTGTGATGCTGGTTAAATGAAGCGATTTAATGAATGTCCTAAATGAGGTGCTAAAGTAGTTTAGGACACCAAGGCCATGGTCTTGATCTGACCAGTAGTGATTCAGTGTGGGTCACAGATGAGAGATTTTTGAGGCAGGAGGCTGTCTTTGGACATAGAACCCCTCATAATCATAGACCTGGTAAGCCACTAGCTGGGGTCACTGCTGATTGAGGAGGTGGTAAAGAGAAGGCCATGAACGTGGAGCACAAATACCCACATCAGGGGATATTTTAAGGAAATCTCTATAAGTCCTTTAGGACATTTTTTACTCACACAGAGTTCATCCATGTTTAGTTCCTTTAAAAAACTTCGTCATGAAAGATTAAGTAAATAATACCATTTGCAAAACTGTAGGTACCCCGTATTTTAAAATCCCACTTTAAAAAATAAAGCGTGTACACACACACACACACACACACACATAATAGTCTATATATATATAAATGCAGTTAGAACATGCATGGCAAAATTGGGGGAGACTATATTCCAAATGGTTAATACTGGCATTTTCAGTGGAGTGGGGAAAGGAATTAGAGAAGACTTTATTTTCTGCAATACATATTTCTGTATTGTCAGAACTTTAAAATCATAACGTTACTTCTTTATTATATCAGAATAGTTTATATATATGTATATACATACATTCTATTTATTAATATGTGAAAAGGGGCATGCATGCTCTCTTTAAAAAATATTGTCTGTATGTGGGATGAACATAAGTTATCTTGCCTGGAAATTTAATTCCGTCTTATCCACTCAATCCAAGGTATGCTGGAAACCTGTTATAGGCACAGATGTCAGAAATCTGTCAACATTTTGGAAAACAATTGACACTTTTAGCATACCCCCGAGGCAGAAACACAGGAATGGGGAACCAACAGTCTGCGGTTGGGATCCCATGAACACACGCTCACTCCTAACACATACTACATGTTTGCAGCAACTCTGCTCTGCCATGACTCTGAGTTACTTCAGACTCATCACAGCTTTCTCTGTGACTTTCCAGCTCCTACTTCTGAATTTATGTCTTTTAGGGATCTTTGGCTTCCAGGCTCCCACTTCTTGATCCTGGTCTGACTTGCTTTGGTTTACTGGCCCCCAAATTCTTGATTCCTCTCCTGCCCCAGGCTCTCGGCTCCATACAAGAGCCCTGCCTAGAACTGGCCTATGATACAACTCTACGGAAATTTTTAGATATCTGAGAGGGGAGCTCTGAAGAAGTTAGTAATATGGCTTTGAAGCTCCCTTCTAATTAAAATGACAACTGCAATATTTGCAGGCAGGCCAGCCAGCTATGGCCTTGGTTTTTGTAGATTCATTCAGGTCGTTGCACATATCAACAGTCTTTACCTTTGTAGTATTCCAAGGTATAGATGTATCATTGTTTAACCATTCACCTGTTGAAGGATATCTGGGCTGTTTCCATATTTTTACTGTTACTACACACATTCCTATACAGATTTTTGTGTGAACATAAGCATTGCAATTGCTGAGTCATAAAGTAATTGCATGTTTAGAGTTGTAAGAAACTGATAAAATGTTTTCTAGAGTAACTGTACCGTTTCACTTTCCCATCCACAATATATGAATGGTCTAGTTTCTTTGTATCCTCTCTAGTATTTGGTGTTATCACTATTTTTTAGTTATACAGCAACATTACGTGATTTTAATTTTTCATTTCCCTGATGGCTAATGACATTGAACATCTTTTCATGTGTTTATTTGCCCTTCATATGCAATAGGCCCCCTTAGCTGCAGGTTCACTTTCATAAGTCTTAAATTCTGAGTAGCATGATGAAATCTTGTGCTGTCCTCTTTCTTTGCACCCAAAACGTGGACCATACCTGTGTCCAGATCTCCACGCTGTATGCATTCCCAGCCTATTAGGCACTTAGTAGCCTTCTGGGTTATCAGATTGACTGTCACGGTATCACACTGCCGGTGCTCAAATAACCCTTATTTTACTTAATAATGGCCCTAAAGTACAAAAATAGCGATGCTAGCAATTTGGTTATGCCAAAAAGAAGCCATAAAGTGCTTACAGAGTGAAATGTTGAAAGTTCTTGACTTAATAAGGAAAGAGAAAACTTGTATGCTGAGGTTGCTAACATCTACTAGTAAGAATGAATCTTCTATCCATGAAAGTGCCTAATTTATCAATTAAACTTTATCGTGTACAAGAAAAACATAGTATATATAGCGTTTGGTACTATCTTCAGTTTCAGGAACACACTGGGGATCTTAGACTGTATCCTCCATGAATAAGTGGGGATTGTTGTATTCTCTTTGGGGAAATGTCTGTTCAGACCTCTTGTTCATATTAACCACTTTTGAAAAGTTAGCTCTACCTGCAGAAAGTCGACAATGTGAATCACAAGCCATAGAAAGCACCATTTTACATTTGTTAGTAGTTTTGGGGGGCTAGGGAGAGGGTCAAGAAGATATATAGTATGCCTTGCCCTCCAGTTTATTCCTCCATCAGACGATTAAAGATATACTGAACTGATGGGGGTTCAGGTTTCAAGATACCATTGGACCACATTTTCTAGTGGTCAACGTCACCATGTGTGATGAAAATGATGTGGCTCTGTCTCTGGCGGCAGAAGGAAAGGGTTGTCTCTTTGGGGTGGGCTTGCCCATTTTGCTTTCTCTCTCTTCCTCTCTGCATGTACCCAAGTGGCAGCCTTGTAGATCTTCAGCCAGATGGGGAAGGAGTTAGACTTAAGGTGGAGAAGAAGCCTCACTTAGGTCATGTGCTTAAGGCATGGGCTCCAATCAGTTGACCAAACACTGTGCACTGGGGTAAATATCACATGCCCAAGTGATAATGAAGTGCAGTCAGGAGAAGAGTTTCATTCATTGATATCAAGATCTTGCTTGGGGTCACTTCCTTTTTCACGGAACTAATGATTCTTTGAAGTCAAACTCAACATGAAGAAGCCAAAGTCAGTGATGAAGGGGGTGTCTACTGACTCCAAGATTTGACTTCGAATTGGGGGATGAGGTTTACAAAACTTTTTGCACCCAAGGCTGAGTAAAACCTAACACTTCCACAGTCTCCACAGGGTGAGGATGTTATGTTAGGGGTATCTTCCAAAGGTCCAAACCCTAAGGCCCTCCCAGCTCTCACTGCACTCACTCTCTGTCACTAAGTGCTTTCTTTGTCATATTCTGATTTCCCTAC